TTTAGCTATACACATCATACAACTTCTTTGGAAAGTTCGCATTCTCACGGTCTGTGGGCTGTGTGGGTGTGTGGGTGTGTTTGTAGGGGGGTGTGTGTGTGTGTGTGTGTGTGTGGGGGGGGGGGTATTCCTGGATCCTCTCTTGTTTCTATCAGTAAAACATTACATAATTAGAACATTTCAACTCAGATCGAAGTTTCTAGAATAGTGGATACCACTTTTAAGTTAAATAGGAGATTCATATACGTAATTGCAGTGCCCGAACTCTTGTACTTTACTTTCAAGCCATTATCGGATCATTTGATTGAAGCTTATGGTTTGAGTTGGCGTCAAGTTGTATCGACATTTCCCCGATTAAGGCGATATCTATATCCAGCACGATTCATTTCCAGTGTGAATAGATTTTAGATAAATTATCAAAATCAAAGTTAAAAATAAAAAGTAAATTATAAGTATATTTAGAAGACAAATTGAAAATTATCCTTTTGTCGATATTCTTTAGAGAAAACTGTTCATGCTTTTTCTGATCAATATAATCACACCGGGGTATTATGGATATTATTTACTAGTTCTAGTCCAATCAATATTTCACACTTAACTTCACGTGTTCACCAGTTTCAATATTCAATGTGCATATTTAAATATCGACTACACTGAGCTATTAGATTTGTAACACGTCTACGGTCTGATAGTCCGAAATTGCTTTTGACACTTTCGCACTTTACATGGCATCGACATTAATAGCTAGCCGGGAACTTTAAAGCTCAACTAAAAGAATGTAAACCTTCTAGAATGGTGGGGATGTATGTATAGTTCGTAGTAGGAAGGCTACTAGAATTCGAAGTTGGCATGGAGCTGTGGTTTGGGCCTAGATTTGAGAAACAAACATAGGGGTGAAGCAGAATCACCAAAAACAAAATCCAGTTTACACAGTATCACTAGAATCAAACGGTGCGCACCGATGCATAATGACCAGCAAAAACAGTACACATAAACTCAAAGGCTTCCAACAGAAGCACTAAAAAAAAAGGTTGCACATAGACTCACAGATCACCAGTAGAATCATTTGAAGAAACTGTGCAAAGTCTCAAAGCCCACAAGCATAATCAGTAGAAAAAAGGCGGCGCACACAGTAAAAACGCACATAGACTCACGGATCACCAATAAATTCATTAGAAGAAACTGTGCCCAGTCTCAAAGGACACAAGCATAATCACTAGAAAAAAGGCGGCGCACACTGAAAATACGTTGCACATAGACTCACAGATCACCAGTAGAATCATTAGAAGAAAATGTGCCCAGTCTCAAAGGCCACCAGCATAATCACTAGAAAAAAGGCGGCGCACATAGTCAAAGGTCACCAGCCGATATAGGGTTTTTCACTTTTATATAGATATATCAATATTGGTATTATTTAAAAAGCCCCAAGTTTCTAATAATAATGGCGAGGACAATAAAATAACTAAAGAACAAAGAAACTCTATACATGTGTGAAACTATTTTGGCTTTTTTTCTATTTTGAAAACTAGACAGGGCTTATGATAAAAAGAAAACCATCAGAGTACACTTTTTCAAGTGGAATAATTCAAAAAGTAGTATTGTACCTATACCATTAGCTTTGCACATATCGTACAATATGGATGCTTGATATTTACTCCAAATTACAGGCCCATCGATCAAATAGTGTTGACATAGTACGTGTTTTAAAAGAAATAATTTCAAATCGTGTTTTGGCGGACTGAAAGCTTCGGGTGCAGGCCCTGGGCTGGAGTGAGTTTGATGTGACGTCTCAGTAGGCAAAACATGATTTGACCTTTTTTAAAACTCGTACTATGTTATAATACCTTCAAGTTGAGGTGTAGTTGTCAAACATACCATATTGTACAACATGCGAATTTTAATGCGTTTTGATTTATCCTACCCGTTATATCCACGGGGCTACGGGACCCCGCATTTGTCATTTTTCTCAGTAAATTTACCCCAAATACATTTTAAAATTCAATGGAAATTTAAAACAACCAGGTTAGCGCCAAATGTCAAGACAGATTGATCAAATCTGTTTGATATTTTTCTATTTACCACTGGACAACATTTCTTTCACTCATAATGAGTGATAGGCCATAAGCCTATCAACAAGTTATGCCAGGATATAGTATAATTTAATAATAAATCGAGAACTATTGTCTGTCAGAATCATGTTAAACTTCGTCGGTTCATGAAAACAGTTCAATATAATTCAATATGAGTATTGGTACTTGACATGTTTGCTAAAGATGATCGTCAAGTCGACCAAAATGAACTGTTTATCTAGTGTTTGTTTATATTGTATCAAGTCGGTTACATCTGATCAAGATGTTAGCCATAATGTAGTTGATAGGTGTTTATATATTTGATGAAGATATCATCCTTACTATAGTAGATAATTGTTTATATATTTGATGAAGATGACATCCTTACTGTAGTATATAGTTGTTTATACATATTTGATTAAGATATCATCATTACTTTAGTAGATAATTTTTTATATAGTAGACTGGAGTGCCTTCCTACTATATAATACATTAGACTAGATTACAAGAACCATTTGACCATTCAATACTACAATAATTTTAAAAAAAGAGAGAGAGAGAGAAATGGGGTTTAACGTCCACTCGGCACAAACTAGGTCATTTCGGGACTAACATACGGTTTAATTTTATTTACATAATTCGCTTGCGCGTAGGGGTCTTTAGCAGTGGGGGAAACCGGAGACCCCGGAAAAAACCCACGAGGTTGGACAGGCGACCCTACTCCTTGCCACGTACAACCGGGGATTCGAAACCACGCCAGTCGACTCAATGACAGACTTTATGATACAGCGCGCACACTCTAACCATTCAGCCATCCAACCCCCCAATTAAAATAAAACTTCATATCCGGCCACTGAAAAAGTAAAACAATTTCATAGAATGTGTCCGAATATATCAACAACTGTCCTATAACTATAGACAAATAGGTATATTCAATACCTATTTAAACCCTGCTGCTCTTCACTTCTAAAAACATATATTGTTTGCGGTCTGCGTTGTTTTGAGCGTGTGACAATGTGTACTAGTTGGTCTCACTACACGCAACAACAAGCACCATATGAAAGTAAAACACCAACAAAACAAACACTTCAGCAACAATGAGACACAGATATTGGAAGCCACTTATAAGCCGAACTTTAGGCGTACAAATAGATTATTGTTAATATTTTCAAGTGAATATCTAATACTACTTAGTGTACCAGGGTCACATAGAATATTCTATTTGCCTCTGACAGTGTCTTCACGCATATTGTGTGTGTGTCTGGGGGGGGGGGGGGGGTAGTAGGTTTGGTTTGCTTGTAAATAATATTTTGAGCTAATTGGGTGACCTGGAAATAAACTCGGTGAATAACGTAACCTGCCTGGCAATCCATCTTCGGTTATAGTTGTCACCAATCATTAGCCCCACCCCACCCCCTCAGTACATGGTGTGTTGGAATCGATAGTAATGTGTTTGCATGTGACCAATCAAATAATAACTCCCCTTTCCAAGATGGGGGTGGGGGCTTTAAAATATTACTTATCAAACTTGTAAAACTTATATTACTTAGCTGGTAGTGTATTGTATGTTTCATATAAACACGGTTTTATAACAATATAGTGATCAAGGGTTGTTTTGCCTATTTTTAACAAATTTCACACAACGTGAAATTGTTATATTGAAGTCCAAAGTGCAGTACAAAATATTGAAGTTCTGCTGTGACATAGGATAGTCTCCCAATCCCTATTTGGCAGCCGTCTCGCAGGATAGTGTGACACCGTAGAGTCGCATTTTCTATTTGGAAGCTATTTTGAGGGCCGCGACAAAGTATTGTGTCACAAAAAGATCCTATGGTGGTGGGGCGTGGGCAGCCGGGAGTGTTATCTACACTGATTAGTCCCAAATATGTATAAAAGCAGCCCTATTTGTGTGTCAATGATTTCTCACTGAGATCAACTATTCATACTGCTAAAATGGGATATTGAAAATTATGTTTTAAGAAAAATATATTCTTTAAACGCATTGTTGGTCATAGAAATTCGATGTAACTATTGTTATTTGTAATTATAGAGGTTTTTCATAAAAAAAAATATCTAAACGTTTAACCAAATATAGATCACTCTGTTTATTTTTAATTTAAGGTGGCGGGGTTATTAGATATAATATACAAACGTTCATAAATAGACACAGAAATGCATCGATTTCAAGTTAATTTCAATTGTGTAGCATCTACTGATCAAATTATTGCCCGGGGTGGTCTGAAATATAATTGCATGAAGAAGAAAGTCGTTATGAACCAAATGAGTTTCGGATACAGGTTTGCGTTCACACAAGAAGATAAGAATTCTATGGAATTATAAAATGACAGCAACAGGTTTCTACTGAATGCAACAACTCGAGGGGGTAAGGCTTCAGGAACGCAAGGAATCAGGGCATTTGTCGTAAATCTCTCAACGCGAACTCAGGGGGTGGTACTCCAATTCGCGCTTCTCTTGTGCGTTTTGGAAGAAGATTGAGTTGGTATGCAAATTTGAACTCAACCTTCGAAGCACAATTACACCCAAAAGTTTCTACGTGTAGGATAAAGCACGAGACTGAGGTTATGTTGGGGACTGAAGAAAATGACCAGAGAAAAAGAAAAACGAAGGCCAGCAGGCCTTGTATCATGTTTTCTTATGGAAAAAATCCTGCCCTGAAAGAATAACCCGTTACAGGTTTAAAGAAAAACTTTCAGAAGAATAACCCCAAATTCCCCTGTATATATTATTCAGATACTAAATCATTCCGGGCATAGAATATACCCTATACCGTTTTAGGTCTAAAATGTCAATTATACACAAAAGTAGAATATTATCAAATTTGTACCTGTATTTTTTAAATTTTAGTCTGCTTTTTAAACGGGGATTTATAGAGCTACCTATACTCAAAATTCAGAAAGCTTGTTTACTTACCCAGTAAACTCTAAATCACCAATGGTAGATAAACTGTACATTGTTGCTAGGGTAGCATTTAGTTCATGGCACCCACGTAAAGCTTCGTCCCACGGCAACAAAACTGGGTTTAAATAAAAGGTTCGACCAAACGCAAATTCATCTTTTGACTGACCTGGAAGACAGAAATAAGCAATTGTAGCAGGACTGACAATGGAACAAGGTTTGAGATCTCGTTAAATTACTTCGAGGGTATTTGAATATTTGTCTGAAGAAACATGTTTTCTCTCACTTGACTTTAGAACTATGTAGGACTGATCGACGAGCTGTGTTTAGTTTTGAATCTGTTGATTCTACGATTATCATAACAAGTTTAAACATTTGCCATTAGAATGGTTTATTAGGTTTAAATTGCGGCTTGGTTGCCGATTATATCTTTTTCGTATTCCAGCTATCAACGTGTGTTTTATATCCCAATGGAAATCTGCCTTTTGTCTACTACAATGACAACAGTACTAAATTTTGTTTGCATTCCAACGAGAGTATTTATAGGGTAGTTATTTCCAATAACAGTATGACATATGACATAGAACAATAACGTATTTCCTGAAAAACACGCATGGGACGCGCACACGTCTGCCATCATCTGTAATAGAACTAAGCTCAGCATACGTACGCGACGCGAAAATCTACCCAAACTCTAAAACTACATTGACGCAACGCATCACGTATACGATACGGATACGTGATACGGATGGGAAAATTCCGCTTGCCACAAGTCTCTAATGTGTCAGTAACTGGCAACAGGTCTGCTTTTTGTCTACATGGAGCGTAATTGTTGATCGAATGGCTAGTGGTTGTGAGAACAGTGAGAGGCTTACGTTGATAGGGGATAATCCAAGAATTTACTGTAAATAGTGTACATATTTCCTTTATCTTGTTTCTTTACAAGTTAAAATTTTGGGGAGAGGGATTATATAGGCTTTGCCTGTTTCCCAATACCAAAAGTAAAAAAAATATTGTTTATAAAAAAATTAAAAAAAAAATTGCCGAGGATTCTATATAATTTATGCTAAATATACAGCGAGTAACGACGAATACAAGCTGTCCATGGGCCCTCTCTCAATTAAGCAAGCAAGGCTGCTTCAAGTAGATTTTTATGGCGTGGGACAGTTTCTTGCTATTAAAATGTTTGAGATGGATTTGAAGCAAATCTTTGATAGATAAATTAGTTTGAACATGTTTTAGTCAAAATATATCTCCAAATCAAACAGTTAGTACTTGCGTAGGCATCTTTAAATATTTATAATTAAGACATTGTCTTTATGAGGAATTTCCGATCGATACATATAACCATCTATTTCACTGCATTCCAAACTTACGTGTTGTTACAGCAGTAATGACTAAAATGATCAAATGCTACTATTATACTAATATATCTCCTTGTATTCATGTTTAGCCGTCCTTTAAGCTGGAAGGCACTTGTATTTCTATGCACAGAGCTTGCATCAGTTCAGTTGAACTAGGTATTTTATTTTAAAACTGTTGTTTTGTACTCACACACAATATCACCGGATTTGTATTTATTTGTAGATATGTTTTATTTCTGCGTTCACATTTGTTGACACTCGATTTTGATGAACTTAACATTATATTTATACCAATGATCTCGGATGGATTCGATTTTGGAAAATATCGGATTGTAATATCCTGGATTATTGCCCTTGATTATTTGAAAATCACCTACAAGTGATTGTAATATCCTGGATTATTGCCCTTGATTATTTGAAAATCACCTACAAGTTTATTCGACTTTGATAAAAGTTAATACACATATTCTTTACACACAAATCGCAGAGAATTTCGAATTTGGCAGACATTGGACCTTAAATTCCCGTTAAAATAGCCGCTCCTCTTCACTGAAATAGTTAAGGATCAAAATGTGTAGTAAAGGCGGTGGGCTTTGTAGTATGATGACTGGGAACATGAGACCGTAACTTCAATCGACTCGCATCGGTCGATAATCAACATTCCGCATCCTTCCGTTCCGGAGTTACCCCCTTTGTCGAAAACCTTGTGAAAATGTTAGAGGCCACCAGGTTTTATTTTTCAAATTTGGTGTGAGGCATCAGGATCAAGAGAGGACAAACCCTATGGATATCCAGCGTTCCGCGATATTCTGATCTGGAGTTACCCCCTTTTTCCAAAACGTTCAAACGCGATAGAGGCTACAGTTTCTAACGAATTATTTTCATATTCTATGTGAAGCATTGGGGCGATGTGGTGATGAGCCCTGTTGATTTCCCTGTTTTCCGTCTATCTCTTGCGAAACACGGATGTATCTTGTATGGCAACCGCTTGTTATAAAAGTCGAAAACAAAAGGTAGAAAAAATACGTAGTTGATATAAATCGTATGGATCACCAAAGTAACGAAACCAAAGAAAACATAATGTCGACATATATAAAACATCGGCTTTAAAATTAGAATAGTTGCTGATTACAATCATTTTGTTTATAGAAACCTTTCAAACTTTGAAACATTTTTATTGTTTCGATAATGTTATGGCTTTACGCTTTTGATTTATTTTTTCTAAGTAACTTTTTTTTCTTTTTTTTTTTTTTTTTTTTTAGCTTTGTAACGTTTTACATATCGTTTTAAACGTTGTTAGAGCTCTCAGGGATTTTTATTTCTTTTTTTTATAAAATGTTTATCATGTTCTTTTGTTTGTTTCAACTATGGCTGGAAGAAAAGGACCTATATTCAAGTAGCTTATTGATAGTTTAATGATGCATGGCTCGCAGATATATTAGGTAGATTAATTAGAAATTACCGTATTACATCGAATCAATGAGCACTTGTCGATCGAAAAAAAAGTGCTATATTTGTTCCTGTTCAACAAAATTATCTATCCTCACATTGTACACGCAACGGTGTCTCAGAAGTTTCAAGGAAACAGTGCCATTCCATTCCATTCACTACGTTTATCATGTAGTTATTTTAAAGAATAACCTAGGATTAACAAGACCCCCTCCCCTCCCCCGACTACTTTTTTGTCCAACTTCAACTATTTTTAACAGCTTGTAAAGAAGTTTAATTGTACAAGTGACGTGATATTAGCATAGAAAAAGCTACCGTGCTACATTTCACACTGATCCGCAGTGAATATTCGCTAGGTCGCGACAATCACTGATAAGGATGACATCGATGCGACTTAATGAGCCACAAATATTAACGTTTTTCCTCCGACAAATTAAAATTCTAAAACATATTTTTTTATGTATCAGAAAAATAAATAAAGACGTTTGAAGTATTTGTAGGTAAAAATTATTTCCTATTTTAGTGTAAATGGGTATTAACATGAGTAAAAGGCGCCTTTCTGCTCGAATCAGTAACGTTTTATGTAAACAATGCACGCGCCATTGAGCTAATGATTGACGCCACGTGATATGACGTCATGTGTTGAAGGCAGTCATCTTTTACAGAGATATTAGAAGACTTTCGTAATACTCTGTAAAACAGATTGGCTACATTTGTGTTACCAAGTTTGGCCAGGGTCATGTTCGAGTCTCTTATCAGATGCCGATATAATTTCGGCTCCCCAAATAAGTGGGCCTGCGACGGCTTTTAGTAACTAAGTATTGGGTCTAGTTTGAAGTCAATATGATTGGCTAGATTAAGAAATTGTGGTATAACACACCCAACAGATTTTCCCATACTGTAGCGCAGGCAGTGATTTTCAACCAGTGTGCCACGGCACACACGTGTGTAGCAATATCTTCCTAAGTGTGCCGCGAAATTTTTAATGGCACTCTAAGAAAATGCGAAAAACCACGTGATCCCAATTGAGTATTCACTGATGTCTACTGGTAAGTTCATAGCTGTGTTTTTCTTTATTTAATTTGAGAGGGGTGGGGTGGGGCCGAATGGTTAGCACGAGCGCGCTGTATCATAAGGCCTGTCATTGAGTCAACTGGCGTGGTTTCGAATCCCCGTTTGTACGTGACAAGGAGTAGGGTTGCCTGTCCAATCTCGTGGGTTTTCTCCGGGTCCTCCGATGTCCTCCTATTGCTATAGACCCCTACGCGCAAGCGAATTAATGAAATAAAATTAAACCATATGTTAGTCCCGAAATGATCTAATTTGAGTCAACTGGCGTGGTTTCGAATCCCCGGTTGTACGTGACAAGGAGTAGGGTTGCCTGTCCAATCTCGTGGGCTTTATCCGGGTCCTCCCATTGCTAAAGACCCCTACGCGCAAGCGAATTAATGAAATAAAATTAAACCATATGTTGGTCCCGAAATGACCTAGTCTGTGTCGAGTGGACATTAACCCCCCCCCCCCCCGCCCCCCCCCCCCCCCCCGCTGGTGGATGTGGCTATCTATGCAAATAACTTTGAACTATTCCAAATGCCAAGAGTGATATCAATGGGTTTTTTTTCAATAAACAATAGCTTGTACAGGATATATGAATAGGACTGGGGAACAGGCTTAGCCAGCCTGGAAACCCCCAAGGAACCCAATCGACCAACAGCAGGATCAAGCCCCGGATCTCCAAGTTAGTGAGCCAGTGCCTTACTGAGCACCGTGAACAAATTTAATGGAACGGCGAACAATACACCGGAAGGACATTTCTTTGGCTTATATAATGAATATATACTCTGTCAAAAAAGAAACACATAGGTGATATGGAAAGAAGAAAAGGGTTTGATTTTCCAACATATCGTTTTTTTGGGGTGTTTTTTTTTGTACAATGTTCACGCATGATCATGTTTCTTTCTGTTTCTGCAATGGGGTAGCATGCCCAAATGTCACCTAAAACAAATTTAACGTTATACGAAAATTGAAGTAAATCGACGTGAAAGGGTCAGATTTTGTCGAAAGCACGTGCAACTCGGGAAAAAGGTTTGGGTAGTGGTGGGAATTTAAAGCTACGATGGTGTCACATTTTAGAACATGCCAAGACTAAGTCCACCGAATCGAAACATTGCAATAGGCCGCCACCGGATAGGTTAATCGCAGTAAGCAGTCACACGCCATGTCAACGTCCATCGACAACTCCAGTTAGTATAATTTAAATAATAGCCCTGAAGTAGAAGATCGCGCTACATTTGGGTTCTCCACATGCGTCACCGAACTACCACAGCAACGGACAGTGCTGGACGAGTACCAGGTATGAGAAGGGTGTCCGCACTAACATTGGGAACCGACTTCGAGACCGTATTTTGGCTCCATTGAGTGACGTCAACATTGACGTTGTGTTTACTGATGCATGAATGTACAGGTGATACAAAAGTACTTCAAATGCTGGTGTCCTTGGAGAATGTACACGTCAAAATCTATCTGTCATGTATATGACAAACAGTATAAAATATTGGTGCAAGGTCGTCAGAATGCCGACAACTAGGTATCCAAAGCAAGTTTATTTAATGCTTAGAAGCATAGACAGTGCTGGTAGGATATCCTGGGTATCAAAAGTAAGAATACTATTATCGTCACTAGGATTCGCCTTTGCACGGGGGTCACAAATTATAGGTGATATTAATTTATTCATTTGTGATATTAAACAAAGACTTCCGATATTAATACGCAGGAATGGTCTTCTAATCTAGATTCTAGTGAATCATTAAATGGATATAAGTTGTTTAAGATAAACATTTGTCAAGAACAATATCTGGATTATAGTCTTGATATACACTTTAAACGAAACGTCACTCGACTCAGGTTAAATTTGTTACCATTGAACTCAATTTTATGCAGAAGAAATCCTTATATTGACCCGGCTTGTCCTCTGTGTAAATCAGATGTTGAAACCCTTTATCACTTTCTGTTCATATGTCCAAACTTGAGCAATATACGATATCTGTACATTCCAGATACTTTATATAAATACTCTCTGTTTTCAACGGCACTAATCAAAATCTGCACGCCAACTGACATCGGATTATTAAAATCTATATCCCAGTATATTGATGTCGCTTTATCACATCGGAAATTGGAAATGTAAAGAAATTAATTTTTATACTGTTATCATAAATTGTAAAATTTATCTACACTTGCTATCTCCCACCTCCCAAGTGTTTGTTAAATTGTACTTTAGGTCTATGACCTTATTACTGAAATAAACATATTATTATTATTATTATATGTACAGGGGTGAAACTTAATTGGGACACTGGAGTGTTTTGCCAACAACTACGTCGGGCAAGTTGACAGATTCGGTAGAGATAGTGTCATGATGTGGCAAGCCATCGCCGACATAAGTGAACACGTGTTCTTGCAGAATGAGAACATTAATTTGCTGTCATGGCCATCAAGATCACCAGATTCCAACTCTATTGAATATCTTTGGAGGAACTGGACAGACGTCTATTTCAGCGTGACCCGGTCCCTTGGGCGTTCTCGCAATTGTCACATGCACTGCAGGAAGAATGGGCTGCCTATGATACGAAGTGCCCGGATTCAGAGACTCATTCTTTCTATGCCAAGGAGATGCCGTGCAGTGATTGCTGCTTATGATGGCTACAAAAGGTACCTCGTGCGACGCTGTTTGATTACGAACGTGCCTCCACCGGAGTCTGTCCATAGCAAGAACATTGTCATGCCAGATTCCAACTCTATTGAATATCTTTGGAGGAACTGGACAGACGTCTATTTCAGCGTGACCCGGTCCCTTGGGCGTTCTCGCAATTCTGTCTATGCCAAGGAGATGTCGCACAGTGATTGCTGCTCATGATGGCTACAAAAGGAACCTCGTGCGACGTTGTTTGATTACGAATATGCCTCCACCGTGGTCGGTCATGCCAAATTTGACTGTGATACGATCTTAAATAACGAAATTATATCTCTTTGCATTGAGATAATTTCATGAATATTTCGCCTATGCGTTTCTTTTTTGACAGAGTATATGATGTGTGTGTCACTTAGACATATCGGCTCGGTTACCAACCTACTAAAAGGAAGACCATATTTCCAAAAATGTTTATAAACATCGGCCGTACATATCGGTTTAACGCGAGTTGTTTTAAAAGCATAATTAATTTGTTAATACAATAAGAACACGATAAGTTTTTCTTGCACGGTTAAAAGGCGAACACGAAATATAACGCGTGTCAAATAGATGGTATGTTGATTTGATCTGTGATTCGAATGCAGAGTATCTTTACTCTTTTCGACCATCTGGTACTACTTTAATGCATACCAAATATTTTAAGTTGTTCTGTGGTGTCCTCTCCTTGATCGATGGTAAAACTATTTCAATCTGTCTGAATAAGAAGACCGTGTGTGCCAACAAGATAGTTTTAAATACCCGGTCGATGTTTAATGGCATATAATGTTAGACGTTCTGCAGGTTATTCAAATGTTATGATTAGGTGGTTAATGTTTTCAGTATGTTGAAATGCTAAAATCACATAAATGGACCTGTTTTATAGATTACATCTATTATTGTTTCACATGCTTTTTATAATCAATATCACCTAGTCTGCCATATCATAACAGATTTCAATTTAACTGGGATGGCTTGTAGCCTAATCCACTTAGTTATCTTAAGTTCATACAAACAATGGTCGCTTCAGAGGTTGTGTAACGGTCATGCATTTATTGTATAATATGCTCCCTATTGTACACGTAGAACAGCAGTTGGGGGTTAACATCAATACCTGTTTATGAAACTTGGGTATTGAATATATTTTGATTTAAACGCTGATGTTGAACGTACACAAATTATGTAAAATGTCAAGTTAAGTTAAATCTGTTATAGATTAGGAGGTATCCGTAATAGTTTGAGGAGGAATCCGTGATAGTTTGACATGCCATTTGTAATTAGATCAATGACAGATTTCAGCTTTACAAATGTATGTAAAATGGAATAAGTTATAACCTTGTATATGCAAGTTGGCTCTTTGTTAATCGCATAATTTTATACTAGGAACGGGTTCAATTTAAAGTCAATCCAGCAATAGTTACTTCGCTTCCAGTCTAGAATAGGTTATAACTGAAATGTTTCAATGCTAAAATATTAACAATTATATTCTTCCTATCAAGAGTTATTCAATATCGCTTAATAAACGGCTCATGATCGAAATCACTCACCTTTGACTGTGCTAAGATAAATGAGAATCAGTGTTATAATATTACTCCACATTCTGATGACGTACATAAAAACCTCGTAATTCATACAAACACACCCTGAAATATATAATACACCGTTTGTTCAAATCATTTATAAATTTTATGTGAATACAAAAGTACATTTTTCTTTTTTTTTTTAGTAAACTACAACTGACCACAACTGATCGATAGTTCTAACGGGGATTTTAGAAGCCGACTAGGGCGATGATGGAAACCTGTATTTCAGAAGCCGACTTGGGTTATGGATGGAACGTGAATTTCAGAAGTCGATGGGTTCTGGGTAGAAGATGACCAACAGAGTTCCCAGTATAGTGGTTTAAGTACAGCCAAAATAACCCAATATACCGATTTTGCTGGTGGTGAATTCGGTCTCGGTTGTTGAAATCCAACTATATAATATCGTTCCATTTAGCTATACTTTCACGAGACTGCTTATTACAGCTTGAACGACTGATGCCAATTCTGATGCCCATGACGTAAACCCCAAATACACAATGTCTTTAAATTTATACTCAAGTTTCAAACGTTATATTTGTGTAAAAACAGCCATTAACAAGAAAACAGTCGTAGATCACATGTATGATATCTATATAGCTGCAATATTACCTGATAACATGATATTTAGGCTACCATTTGATGTTACGTCAGCTATTTCCACGTATATAACATACCCTAATCGATATGAATATCGTGTTAAAGTAAGGACCGACATGGGCATAACTTAAAACGACTCAATATTTTGATTTAGATTCAGCCCCTATATTGACAGCAGCAGTAAATTCCGCTATGTGGTTGTCCGGAAGGGGACATTTTTTTTTCTAACGCAGTTGTCATTTGTCAGGTGTGGGATCTGCTGGACTGATAGGAAATGTGTATCTGGGGGCCAACAGTTGATGAAGAGTACAAATATAGGTGAAAACGCCGATGCAAGCGAGAAAATCGTCGCCATCCCGCCCCCACGCATTGTCCATGTTAGCATTGAAATGAAATATATCATATGTCTAAATTGACCGAGGTATTGTGTTTATGAAACATTAAATCCGGCCCAATTTCATCACTTGTGTCCCTTTAAACTTATTAGAACTGATCAGATTATTCTATACAAATCAATGTATTATGTTATTAGGTAAAAACGTAAATTAGTGTATCTGAAAATGTCAGCGATAGACTAGTGGATAGAGATTATTGGTGCGTAGATAAAGGGAGTCATGTCAATGATATCCTAACAGTTGGAAATCGAAAAAGAGTAGAACGTAGCGTCGTTGTCCAGGCTAAATATCCATCTTAGTACACTGCAAGACGTATACGCCTGTCTTCATTCATTAGGCCCGTTAGTTCAAAAAAAGTAGGGCGTTAAACCACGGTTTATTTCATTTACATACAGAAAAAATTCTCGGAATATGAAAAAAAAAGACTATATTGTTAAACATTGAATAACTGTAATCAGAATAACATTTCTACTGCGATATGTGGGATACCACAGCGTTCTAGTTATTGAAAGAAACGGGAATCAAATGGTATGTTTTCTATTCTTACGGTGGCGTTCCACAATATTCAATAATAGGATCTTTGTTATTCTTAACATTTATAAATAGCCTTTCAATATCAATTATCAAAACGATATAAATAACACATGTTGCAAGAAGAACGACGTGGTAAATAATATGTAGTATTGCATGGCATGAGTGAATGGTCGAGGAACGTCTGTTTTCATATAGATAACATGTATCTACCATTCAAATATCGCTAAAATATATCTCTATTTGATATCCTGGTCCAGAAAATGTGTCGTCATTATATTAACGATCTTGCAGATAATACCTGTAAGAAGCCAATCCAATAATAATTGATCAAATAGTTTAATGTTGGTGACCCGAGGGCAAGCTTCCGGTGATGTATATATAACTAGTGATAAAACAGCTATTATAGACATGAGATGAGGTCAATAAAAATGTTGTTTATAGGTTCAAAGATGTTTATTATTTATACAAAAATAATTAACAGCAGCAAAAGTTTAAGAGGGAGAGAGAGAGAGAGAGAGCGGGCATAATGTTCTATGTTCTGCACCTATCGGGCTAATGACCGGGCAAGGGCATTTCAGAATACTCCACATCCAATTGGCAAGGGTTCTTTTACGTTTCTTGGAGGACGTCAGTTGTTTATCCCACCCATGCGACTAGACGACATTTTCTTGCTAAGGTCTCCGTTCTGCACTCCTGACAACAGGAATAAATACTCATTTCGAGACTCGCATACCGCATACTAATAATTGCTTTATTTCGATAATTTGCTTACCTTTAAGATTTTTTGGCATCTGTTTCATTTGTTCAACCTAAAGTGGGTTTATGTTTTGAGCATATAGTGCAGCAATGAATATCATTCTATATTAATCAAGTAACTATTTGGTAAGGGAATCGATATATTGAAATCGATATGTGAAGTGATTGGTATAATATATCGATTAGTTCAATCAATGATTTAATATTAAACAAACTGAAACATTTTATATCCATTTTTATTTTATTCAATGGATTATTTCATTCTTAACTTTAAAATTCGATACATCAACACAAATACCCTTGATCATCAACAAAACTATTCTTGATCTCACTTGTCAACGCTTGACAGTGTGGTAAATTTTCTTTATAAAAACGTTACTACAGACACTTATTAGTTATAAATTCGGGTTTTAAAAAAAGAAACATTAAAGTAGAGCACATCATAGACACAGCCATAGGATTTCTTTGTTCTAATATTTTAAAACAATACTTTATTCAATATAATTATATCCAGATTTATTAGCACAACCGTAACGTTGCACTACTTTGTTTCACGGTAAACTACTTTGTTTCACGGTAAACGACGAAAAGATATAGGTATGCCGACACAAACTGACTTCAACACTGGTTTAATAACATTTTTTAAAGTATTTTTCGTCCGTCTTGGGACTATTCATAAATAATGTCATTGTGTGCAGATTGAAAGTTTAGCGTATTTATTCATATTTACATAGTAACACTGTGGTTTTAAATGGCTATAGTTACCATTGTCTATGGTTAGATAGTATACCTGTAACTAATAAGAAACATGTACACACGTGTATTAATCTGTTGTAGATAGGTGCAATTTAGAAACAATGAGTGGAAGATAACCCTGGGATAGATTTAAAGATACATTATGGGAGATTCGATAACGAGTTGATCATTCAAATTGATCCACTATGAACCGAGAACTAAGCGATTGAAATTCCCGCATAGCCTCGATCATCATTACTAAAGTCAGTACGATAAACAGCATAGTCTCGGAAAGTTATGCAGTAAATCAGCTCATAATCCACTAAAAAACGCAGGCTAGCGATGCCATCTAGGGTTGATTATGGTCTGGATAGGTTAATTAATGTCTAATTAATAATTTAAATAACATTTCAGGCCTAAAGAAAGACCTGCAATGGATAGATTTAGCTCTTGCATAATGTATGTTAAAGGAAATAATTATTGGTCTGAATGGGAGATCGTCTGGCTGGAAAACACTGATGAATTCGGCATTTTGATGTTTAATAGACTCCTTGATCATCTTGGATTTATGGATTTTTGGAAGACCATAAAACTGACTTGTTTTGTACTCGAATTTACGGAGATAACCCTGTTCGTTGTCCGTCAGTTCGTTTTTGTGATCTTGAATTAATTCCGTTGTTCTTTTATCATGGTTCGAATCTATGGTTGTATACACCCGTTTGTCTTGTTTTCCTTGGGGGGGGGGGGGTCTGAATATACTTGGACCCCCCAAAAAATTTACATAGTAGGCCCAAACTCCTATTTATTTACAACAATTATTAGGATTAGTTAAGATTCTATCTGTATAAAACCTGTACATATCCCAGTATGGTTTATACTGCTAAAATAAAACAGAGATAATCATCCTGGAAACATGTATAAAGTGAAAAGTACCCGTGTTCCATGAAATTGTGTCTAGTTAGCCTGTCAGTAATATTTTGTTAATTTTTTTCTGCCACTTATCAGAGTGAATCCCATGTAGGTACCCAAAAACATAACCGCCTAAACCAAATATTTATCGCCCGCTCAGCCAGCAACGTAACCATAATGCTTTTGCACGCGGTGTCTTGGTAGACAGCATGGCCACATGGTGTTTGTTTATATTTTTTAGGGGTTTTAAAAAATGGGTTAGGGTTAGGGGTTAGGGTTGCGGACCCCCCCCCCCCAATATATATTTCACGGCTACGCCTAAAGGGTATCAGTATTCTACCGTAAATATACGATACTTGTCTGTAGTTGAGCTTGGATTTCACAAGCCGATACCATTAAATTTCTAATTTTGTCCTCTTCATAATCAACCAGACAAAGCATTTGTTGATTATAGATTTGACGTGATTTAAAAAATTTACTGTTTCAGTACATCAAATAAGCTAATTAACAGTGTTTCTTTCTTCCTTCTTATCAATCATGAAATCGCAAATACATGTATATAATATTGATAAAATCTGTTGTTCGTCAACCGAAGTTTTCTAGACAAAAACGCTGGAATAATAGAAGACTTAAAGCGGGAATTTCATATTTTCTAAGAAAGTCAAAACATAATTATTTCCCACTATTAAAAATCATTGTTTTCCTATTGCCTCCATGCATTAGCTACCTTCAAACGTTGGAATTTGAAGTTGAAAATGATATTTTTGCCAATTTCTCAGCTGGCAATAGTGAATTATAGGATCAATAGGATTATTCTTTAACAAGGTAGGACGGTTTATGGATACCATCTATTTTAAGGCTTTATTTTAATAAATTTTAAAAATATAACTTAAAAATATGAAATTGTAGCTTTAATATTATCCATAATATTCGAAATTAAAAACATAAATTAGAATTCAATATTGGTCCATTTCAATCGGTAATGATGTTGTTATCTTGCCGTAAAAATATGGGACCCTGGTATCAAGTATTTAAGACCCAATGAGGATTTTAACTCTATGAACATAATGGTTTGTAATAAAGGAAGAACAATATATCCAAGAAGACTATGTGGAAGTAATTGAAAATGGCTGATTCACAAACGACAAAATAATAAAAAAAAATTTAAAAAAAGTTGTTGAATGGACTAAGTAGTTGCTGTTCAATTTGGACAGATCGCGAAATTTACCGGACATAATTGATTCGCAATTACGATTTTAAAAAAACTTGAATGTTGATCACATTATATGCACTTATAAATTATGTGGTTTTAGAACAATTTTCGTCTACTTTAAGGATTTAAAGAATACGTCCCTTAACAGACCAGTTAAAACTGTCCAGTTTATAACACTATCTTGTCACCATCCTGAACAATTGATAACTGTACTAAATTATTTTGATAATTTCAGAAACCGTCTTGTTTTGGTTGAAACCCGGGAACTGGTCGATTTCCCTATTAATGGTCGTTATTTAATAGTATTTAAATAGATATGATGAAGAGAAAATGTATCAATACTCGGCATCCTCTATAGACGATATAAACAAGATTATGATCAAAACAAGCCAGCGTCACCTACAATCTTCACTAAAATCTTTTGATGAACCCCTTTTTAACCCAAGCAGGGTGATTATCTACGGTTGATTTTGTTTTCATAATTAAATGTTAAATAATCAATATGAATATATTTTAGCGTGGATAAGATATTGTTCGAAAAATGCAAACGACGATCTACGGCTTTAATTGTTAATACTGTGAAGTGTGATCTCATTTAAAAACTTGCCAATATCCTTTACTTTCAATTACTATTTGATATTAGTCGCCATTTTATTATTATATATCAAGTTATAATATCGGTCATATTAACTTCGTCTTTACACCCTGCTTCAATAAAGACGTTAATTACCTCCTGGCGAATGACTTCCGTTTCTCACTATTTATCGCCAGTAATGACTGGAAAAGAATCAAAAACTTGTTAACTGAAAGATAATTGGCCAGTTTTTATTCATCTTATATATTTTATTATCCAGATTTTATAGTATAAGGTGACAATAAAACCATAGAATAATACATTAGTACAGTCGACTTCATTTTCTAAATTACGTATTCAAAATATATTGTTTAAATATTGGAGGCGTAGTTGTGTTTTGTGGATTGGACACCGCGTTGTCTTACTAATTACATTGTGTTGCGTAGTAAATAGTACAACACAAAATGACCATACAGCGTATCATTTTTTGGATCAGATTTCTCTGATTCGGATGGAAAACCAAGACGTTAATTTTGCAACACTTCCCTTCGCATTACATTACATTACATGGTACGCGATAAGTACTGGGTAGTAACTGGTATACTTTCTGATTGATTACAGCATCCGATTTCCGTTTCATTTTACTAACCAGACTAAACAATACCCCTCCATCCATTCCCCACACACCCCAACAATCTACAAAAAATACAAGAATGTGAGCATGACTTCAATTTGTAGAAAAATAAGTAATACTTACGCTCATCAGACTTTTAGAAATCGCAGCAACAGTGTTATTCTTATTTCCGGGCTTGTATATTAATTACATCACATATTCCAAACTGGAGCGATTTTAAAGGTTCAAAAATAAAAGTTAGTTCCTTTTTGAACGATAAAGTCTACGTAAAACACACTTATTGCTGTACTGATATACATACGATACATACGCGTGTCCAACTATAAGAAATTGTTCTTCTGGTTTGTTTTCCGATTTTGTAATCGGACTATTGGTGTATGTGGTGTCAAAGAGTCTTATTGTATAACACTAATGTCTCACAAAACGATAGGACGTCTTCGTGTTACTGTCCATATATTTTATTCACTTTGTTAAATACCACTTGAAAGCAATATTATGTCGGGATAACCTTCTATCTAGCAGCTTATGCTTCTGAATTCCAAACAATCACTCTGTAGTAACTATAAGTAGTGACGGGTATTGTTACTGGTAATGTTCGAGAGATGTATCAGTTTTATCGTGTCCAATTTTTAATTGCACTATTGAGCACCGTTTAAATCTCCCGGACAACAAAATATCCCATAGTATGTGTCTTATCTACACCACTTGTTCACACCAACTAAAGCTTCTACTTTATATATCAATACATTACCCTGACTTCAATACATATAGATCGATACAATAATAGTCTTTACCTATATCCTCCAATCATATCAAAGAACATTGATTTTACTTCTACAAATCTTATATTAATTATTTAAATCTACACGCATGAGGTTCATGGATCATAAATTTATTGATTTAATTACAAGAAATTTTATATTAAATTTGAAAAACATATTTGGTTTGATTCACCGTGATTTAACTATAGCATGCTCAGCATAGATTGTGTACATGAAATGAAATTAATTGGTTGAATGTCCTACTGTTTTGCTCCCACTGAGCTAATGAAGATGGGCATACGTCATACATTGTGCTATTTTGCCCGGACAGCGGATCTATGGCCTACTCTTATATCGAATTCCAACTGTCAAGAATTCTTTTATTTGCACGGGACCTCGGATTTTCGTATCATTCGAACGATTATACGTGCACAAATTTTAACGTAAATCTGATGATTAATCAACAAAAAAAAAAAAAAAATAGATTCATATTTAAAATTTGATCGTGGATACCTATGTATATATTTTACGGTGATTCAGGTAAGTCAGTGTTAGGATTATGTGAATCAAAGATTATCATCGTTTCTTGTCGTGGTGAATGTGTACTGCACGTGTAATATCTTTCGCATTCGATACGAAAAAAAACCCCTTTAATACTTGATAAATAAGCTGGTGGTATCCTTTTAATGTATTCAAGTTAGTAAGTAGGGACTGGTTCGTGGAATCGTTATGGGTAGTAAAGTTGGTAAGTAGGCACCGGTTCGTGGTAATATTATGGATTTTAAAGTAGGTAAGTAGTGACTGGTTCGTGGTATCGTTATGTGTATTAAAGTTGGTAAGTTGGTTCGTGGTATCGTTATGGGTTTTAAAGTTAGTAAGTGACTGTTTCGTGGTATCGTTATGTGTATTAAAGTTGGTAAGTAGAGGAACTGGTTCGTTGTACTGTTAGGTGACCTCAACTTCGTGCGTCATGAAATCGGTTTTATCGCAGCTCCTTGCCTCCACGTAATTACCGCCTTTCTAATTAATACCACGTGTATTGTTTAACCACACCTGGTTGCATTTATTATTAATTCATCACATGGATTTTCTACCGACCATGACAACTGAAATATACTCTATCCTACATATCTATATTCCATGGTGAACCTAGCTGCGTGACAATTATAGTATCTGTCGAGAAAGTTCTTTGCCAATTAATTAAATGCTATCTCTTTTCTGAAATTTGACTCGTTTTACCTTGTCAGTGGTACAGAACGAAAGACCTTTCAAGGAACAGTGTCTAGTCGTACGGATAGTACGAGAAACCGAGGTCCCGTGTACACATTAAGGTGTACGTAAAAGAACCATTGACAGAATTCGAGACAAGAGTTGGTCGTAGCGCCGCTGTCCGGGCAAAACTTCCACCATAGCACAATGTATGGCGGTAAATCTTCCAAGTGCAAAAACAGAAAATTTGACCTTTTGACTTCCGGGATCACAAAGAACAAAGGTGAATTTAGCAAGTTTACATTTTTTTATTAAAAGAGTTATTACTTTCCATCATTTTCAGCATGTTTTCATGATACAAAAATTGCTGCGTATTCACTCTCAACGACGGACTGGTTACCACTCGGCATCGTATTCTACGCTAAAAAAAATACTATAGAAAAGTTGGGTCTGTCTTTGAGCCCATTTGCCCCCCCCCCCCAGCACGGAGCCGCCAGTCTAAAATAACCATCCCATCCTAGTGTACCGCTTTCATTAAAGCTCTTCGAAAAATGTTAACTTTATTACTATTCCATATTGTCATGTTATCTGAATTGATGTACTAAGGGAAACCACTCGTATTTATAGAGAGGCTCGACCTTTTATTTTTGACTGTTCGAAGTTATAATTTCTGCCAGGTTTTGCTCAATATACAACGATTCTTTAGTGTAATCGGAGCAATGGTGCCTTCTTGTTAGAAGTTTCCTTCTAACAACTATTTACTGACATTCATTGCTGATCGGAGTTTAATGTTTTATGTCACCTAAAATAATTTCACTAAAATAAAGTAAAATGAAAACATCATAAGAGAAAGAGTCTGTGTAAAATACTCAAATTGTCAACGAATTCTAAACGTCAATGAAATCGCTGCCTAAATTGTCTCAGATGCACTGAAACTAATCCTAATTTTAAAAATATTATCCAAAAATATTCACTTTATAAATCTGAAATGTCCGTTAATATCACAATCTTAATTAACTGATTGTGCATTATTATTTGCTTCTAACACTAAACAAAGGTTGTCTATTGGTCTGTGTAACGCCGAAGACTTGGTTTTAACATTAACAATTCTTACAACACCTTTCTTGTCCTTTATCACACCTAACATAGAGCTTAACACCACGAATTACGCGGTGAGGAGTCAATAATTAACACTAAATCATCCACAGCGACATTGCTTTCGATCTTGAACTATTTCTGTCTTGCGTGAAGTAATGACAAGTACCCTTTTGACCATCTCTTTCAGAATACATTAGCAATACTGGATTTGTCTAACGCAATTATCGGTTTTAGAAAATAAACCAGGTGGCAGATCAGGACCTTTCCGTAATAATAGTAGAGGATTTGGGGTAAGGACTTCTAAACTCTCTGTGATCTGTAGATAGTTCGGTGAGAGGTCTGCCATTAATGATGTTTTCTACTTCACAGAACAGGGTTTGTAAAGATTCATCGTTTGGTCTCATCAGTTGTTCTTTCAACAAGGAATACGGAATTTTTCTAAGAGAGCGTACCATCCGTTCCCACACTCCTCCAAACTGGGAACCACTGAACTCCATCTTACATTTCTTTGTACTAAATAATCTTTAATCTGTTCTAAATTCCATCTTTCTATTTCTGTTCTGATATCCGTTATCGGATATGATTTTTGATACAGGACCTCTTCTTGCCATAAATCGTCGAATTGCGTTTATACACGAACTTGTAAAGATGGAAATGGGCTATTTCAAGGTGTACTACACGAGCAGACAAGCAAGTGAATAATATGACACCATATCTCTTGACGGTAGATCGACCTTGCTTGATTTCAAACTAGGGACCGAAGAAATCACAACCAACTGTCTGGAAAGGAACTACACCGATACTGACTCTATCTTTCGGCGGGTCGGCCATATTCTGAACGAAAGCCTTTCCACTGTACTTTTTACATAATACGCATTTGGACAAAATATGTTTCATCAAAGAATAACCACCAATTAACCAATAGTTTTGACGGATGTTAACATGGGTTGTCTTTCTTCCAAGATGTCCAACTGCCCTGTGGCTATCTAAAATAATGTGGTAAGATAATAGGATGTCTTTCATTGTGATCAATATTAGCTCTGCTAAGGCGCCCTCCTACTCGAAGTAAGTTGTCTTCGATGAAAGGATCTAACTTTCTTAACGGACTGTTTTTTTTTTTAAATGCTTCACCATTCTGTAGGCACTTAAATTCTTCAGCAAAGTGTTTATTTTGGAAATGACGAATTATCTCCCTTTCTGCTTCTAAATACATTTCGACTTCTATACTTCGATCTTGTTTTATAGATTTTCTTTCTTTCTCTAATTCGGTTGCCCCTCTTTTTTTCTTTCCTAATTCGGAATAACCATTTAAAGAATCTATATTCTGCTTCCTTCTTAAGCTCCAGAATTTTATATTCCTGATGGAAGTAAGTATTCTTGCTACTACTGACCTTAATTTCTTCCAACTTGAAATTCTTTTAACCTGTCTATCAAGGAAATTAAATGGGTATGCCACAACAGCATTAGATGTATATTTTATCTCTGGATGTTCTTCAAGGCTTATTGTGGGAGTTGCTTTAGGCCACTCTGACTCATCTTTCCATAAGAATTCTGGACCACCAATATAACATTTCCTTCTATTTATGTCTTTAGTCATTAATCCTAGGGAGAATATATCTGCTGGATTTTCTTTCGTATGACAATATCCCCATTGATCGATACTTGAAGCTTCCCTTATTACTGTAATTCGATTGGCCAAGAATGTGTGGAATCGAACTGTATCATTCTTTATGTAATTAATTACCGTTTGACTGTCAGTCCAATAAAGAATTTGGTGTATCTGTATATCTAACTCATCTATGATCACTTTAGAAATTCCTACAGAATTGGTTGCAGCAGCTAATTCCAGTCTGGGAATTGCGATTTTCTTTAAATTTGTTACTCTTGACTTGCCTTTGAGCATACTACAATGTACGGAATTGTTTTTGTCGATCAATCGTAAGTAAGCCACTATACCATATCCAATATTAGTGGCGTCGGAGAAAATATATAACTGATAATTACATACTTACCATATTCTGATGGTTTTTATACTTCTTGGAATCTGGATTTCTTCTAGTAAGTAATGGTAATCCAATTAACCAGTTCTGCCATGTCTTCAATAAATTTCCCGTCACATCAGTATCCCAATCAAGTCCTTGCTTACATAATTCTTGAAGCAAGGCCTTTGCTGGTATAATGT